TCATTTTGATTTCCATATTATATAATATATAGTGTTACTTACTAATCTAACTGTCTTAATTTGTCTTGTAGAGGAAGAGTTAATAGCTCAATCTTCTGCTATATCATTAAGTGACTCTGAAGAAGATAATCATTGAATGAGGATCTATGAGGCTAAATGGATTATAACTTTAGAAATTAGAATTATTGATACTTATTTATTTACTGTTAAAATATTTATCCTTGTATTATTTAGAGATTTAAACTTTTAAAATGATGCTACTTAAGTACTTATATTAAATTAGAATGGGATGAAAAACATATGTTTTGATTAAATTTGTTTTTTAAAAAAGTGGGTACTGCAGGTAAATAGGTGGCCTAGACCCATATGTACTCGCCCATCCCCGTTTGCACATGTTTAAAAATAGGTACAAATGAGTATGTGTATATATATATATATATATATGTATGGAGGGTCTTAGAGGAGATAATCATTGTGAAGGAATTTGAAAGAATGAATGAAGTAATAGTTGTTTGTTTATTAATTTAGTTTATGTATTGCTTTCTTTTAATCAATCTCACCTTATTTCCAATAGTGTGTGTATCTATATATGGAGGGTTTAGAGGAAATGATAATACTACTAGTTCACCTGGTAAGAAGAGTTGTAGAGGCCTTACAAAGTTGAGAGAGTTGTGGCATCTCAAAATGACCTTAAATTTTAAATAATTAATAAGCTGTCACTTTCTATCTAAAGTTGTTTATTGGTTTAATTTTTTCATTTGCACAGAAATTAAGAATTGTAAATAAGAAAATACAATCATAGAACATATATACCCATTACATGTCTTGTGGAGGATATAGGAAAGTTAAGGGCAAGCTAATGGAGGAAGATCAAAATAAAATGGAGGAAGTAACAAAATTAGACCCTTCCATTATTTTCCAACCCCTACCTCACCAACTCATCATAGAAAATGGAAGGCTAAGAGGATGAAGAAAGGGGAGTGTATCACTCCAGAGGCTACTCTAGTTGTTGAAAGAATTATAAGTCATTAAATTTATTATTAATTGTCTTTGAAGTAGATAAATTAATTATTTAACTCATATATTGTAGGATTCACTTGAGGAGTAAGCTTCTTAGGGTTCCTTTACTCCAATGGAAGGGCAGACATTATAGCAACTACAATTGGGAAGCCAAAACACCCTAGTCCAGTTATAGGGGTTGGTAGAGGAGTTGGTTTACAACAATACTTTGGATCAACTTCATGAAGCTCTCTATATGTCTAAAAGTAAGATCCATCAGTTGATAACCAAGATTAGGGAAGATACTCGAGTTGATATGCGACAAGAGGTTTGACAAGAGGTCAAACAGGAATTTCATGAATTGCTATGGGAAGAAATGATGGCCCAGCTTTGTGAAAAGATAAAATCCATGATCTCGGGCATGACAATTTTGGTTGCTAAATGTATCTCTCAAGTTTGCGTGCATTTAATTTAATGTAGATTAGTGTTTAATTTTATCAACATTTAAATTTTTTTATTTTGTTTCATCCTGACTTCCCCTGTAATGCAAAGCACCAAAAACAGTAGGGGCATTAGCATTGGCACTAGTTGACACCAATCCTCCTATACTAGATGACAATGTAACTCCTTGTTATCTTTATTTGGAGCTTCCAAAAAAAAAGTGTTGTCACCAAAGGTCAAGTATACAGTACTCTTGAGTCTACAATCCATCATCAAAAAATTTGAGATGATCAAGTTAGGGTGATAGTTACACATGTTTGGATGGGTGAGGATGACGCATTAGTGTCATTTCCTACCTCAAAAGTTGCAATAGTAGACCATGCAAAAGGAGCTTTCATTCTACAGCCTAAAAGTCTTATGTTAAATACCGATGTAACATCGCTAGAGCTAAAGAATGCCTTAATACCAATGTTGTTTTCTTTATGTTAATTACTCATAAAACTCTTCTCATTTTAATAGGAACCTAAAGATGTTGAGAAATTTTCTTATCTGGCAACATTGAATTAAGTTTATAAGAATATGACAAAGGCCATTAATATTAAAATGCCACTGGGTGTCATGGGTGTAAAGACACAATATGTCTTTCTAATTGACAAAAAAGACCTCAAGGAGTTCCTAACTTTAAATGAACTAGACATTTCATTTGCCAAATTATGAATCTTGTAATTTTTCTATTTACTTTTCTCCATTTTTCCTAATTTTCTTTCATAGCACTAACATTTTGAACACATTTCAATGACAAGAACCTTTATAATGTTTGCGTTGAAATGGGAAAAAAGGACAAATTTGGATTTTTGTACCTGGTAGCTTTACAGGGGAAAAGTAACACAATACATTGGAGGATGACATACGTGATGAATCATATGGTAGATACAACGTTGCCATGTTATCTAATGCTAATTATTGAAGGGCAAGTATTTTTTTATTCATGTCTATATATTTATAAAGTTATTTCATGTTTTCTAATAGACATTAAAAAACTTATATGTTATAGGTATCATTGGTCACTTTATGTTCCTTGTCCTCCTAAAGTTGTAATATACTGATTTTGCTCTCTAGGCAATAAACCAAGTGATGAGATTAAATGGATTTTTAACAAGTAAATTTATCTTTGTAAAACTTTACTTTATTGATATATTTATGCTTTTTAATGTTTTTTCCATTTACAATTCATGCTAGGGCACTTCAAACATATTATATGTTGATTGGATTATGTAAGAAAGAAATAATGATTCATTGGATTTACTTGAAAGTGAGCATGAAGACTTAACTTCTATCTTTAATCATCATTCACATGTATGAGATTTACCTGAAAGTTAGTTTAATTTTTAATTTTCATTTATTTCCAATGCCATAAGTAGTTAGAACAAAGAGAATGCAGATATTATATTATTCATTACATGTATGAGATAGTTGAAATGGGAAGCACCATGAAATTGCATAAGGTATTTATTTGGTTTTGTAATTTTATTTTAAATCTTTAACTTAACATCTTATAGTATTATTTTGATTGATTTTATTATTTATATATTTGATAATTTGGATCCCTACAATGACGAGGAGATTGATGGCATTCGAAAAATATTGGCTCATGAAATTCTTTAAGAGCACTTTTCAATGTGAGAGGTTGCCAAATTGTTAGTTGAACATATATGTATATTGATTAGATTAGATACAATGGAAAAATATCATGTTTGTTACAATTAGTTGATCAAATAGCTAGGTTGATTACTTTAGATACAATGGACAAATATTGTGCTAGTTACTTATATACCTAATTGATTCTATTGGCTGGTTGGCTATTTTTATCTGCTAGATATATTATGTAAAGTTTACAAACTTAAATTATGGATGTGCTAGAAAATAAACCTCACATTTTAAAAAGAAGGACTTTCCATGTTGGTTCTTTTAAAAACTAACATGGAAAGTTAGGTTCCACGTCAGTTTCTTGCTTAACTGACATGGAAACATAACTTTTCACGTCAGTTACAATGCATAACTGACGTGAAAATTTATGTTTCCACATTGGTTAAGGCAAGTAATCGACATGGAAACTGACTTTCCATGTCGGTGTCAACCCACATTGAAAGTTATGCTTGCCATGATGGAATTTGTGATGACCTCTTTTAAATGGATGTAAAACATGCTTCTTGCAGTTATTTCTTCACTTCTATTAAGGGCACTTTAGTCATTTTGTCTTACAAAATTATTTTCATTTCAACCCCAACAACTTGTGGTACATTTTCATATTTGTTTAATCCTTTTTTTAATTAAGTCACATCCATGGTCGTACTCTAAAATTCTCCCATATAAAATTTATGAGGAATTTATATAAAAAAATTATTTATAAGTTATAAATAATAGGGAAAATACAATCATTGGTCCCTATAGTTTTATCGAGTTTTATTTTTAGTCCCTGTAGTTTTTTTCCAATGCTTTCAATATCTATAGTTTTAGTATGACTGGGTAACGTTTGTTTCTTAGATCCCGATAGTTTATGTGTTTTTAGTGTTTCCAAACTAAAAAACACTAGAGAAAAATGAAGGACCTAAAAGCAAAATCCTATAAAGCTATAGGAACCAATGATCATGTTTTCCTTAAATAATATAATCATCTTAAACATTGTGTGGGTACTTGTTTATTAGATTTTTTTTTACTAGAGCTACTTCTAATGGCAGAGCCAAGACCCAGAGTTAGGGGATGTAAGAAAGTTTAATTTAAAAATTAATATTTTTTCATTGTCACCAATAGCTAGAGCCAAATACGAGTGAGCAAGACTTATTCGATCCAGGCTTATTCGCATTGGGTTTAAGATACCCTAACATGTAAAAACCCATATAGTAAAGTTGAGCCAAAACTCCTCAAGCTTTCGGGCTTATTTGTGTTGTCCTAAATATCTAAATTGTCAAATATTATTTTTTTTTCATTTTATTTTTATCTAATTTTAAATTTTATTTTTAAAAAATTTAATATTTTCAATCTTATCTTATTTTATAATATTTTATTAATAATAAAAAATAAATTTTATTCGGGCTAAGTCTATATGGGTTTAGATTTGACTTAAATTTTTTAGAATTTATTCAAGAGGTCCAAATAAATCCAAAATAAAAAAAATTAAACTTTTAAACCCGATTCTAAAATATTTTCAGTTTATTTGAACTTAGCCCAAATACCGCCACCCATAGCCATCCTTGTCTCTTTCATTTGGTGCTCATTTGACATTTCTATAATATGGAATTGGCATTGGGCCCACTAAGCATTGTATACGTTTCTAGTTTGAATAGTCTTCGTCTTTGCCCTCTCAAGACTTTCATTCTCCATTATCGTCCTTCAATTCATTGCAATTATTAACAATGGGAACATGTTGGTCAAGTGGCCAACGCCAATGTCATTTCAGTTGTTATGGTCTTCGTCTTTGCCTATCCTCTTCTTCTTTGGCCACATTTGTATTGGAACTTTAATTAGTTTTCATTGTTCCAGCAAATAATTCATGCTTGTTTACGAATAAATGTTAGTTCAGTTGATTAAAAAAAAGCCTAGAGGTATGGGAAATTTCGCGATCCTTACCTTGTTTCTCCTTTTCCTTGCCATCATAATCACAGACACAGAAGCATCGTCTTGCAATGGCCCATGTGAAACCCTAGACGACTGTGTGGGTCAGCTTATTTGCATCAATGGCAAATGCGACGATGATCCTCAATCTGATACCCAAAGTTGCACCAACTCCAATGTCGACGGCAATAATTGCCAGTCCAACGGCCCTTACTCTCCGCCTTATAACTTGGCTGGCACGCGCGCCATTCTCACCGTCAATGACTTTGGTCCCGGCGGTGATGGCAGCGGCCCTTCTGAGTGCGACAAGAAGTTCCACCCTAATGGACGAGTTGTTGCCCTGTCCACCGGATGGTATCACAATAGGTCGCGATGTTTTAAGAACATCCGAATCACGGCGAACAACGGCCGAAGCACGGTGGCAAAGGTGGTGGACGAGTGTGACTCGGTGAACGGGTGTGACAAGGAACACGCTTATCAGCCACCATGCAAAAACAACATAGTGGATGCTTCAGATCTTGTGTGGAAGGACCTGCAACTGGATACGGCTGAGGGTGAAGTAGCCGTTACTTGGACCATGGCCGCCTGAGATTATAATTATAATTTTATTTTCTTTAAGCACATAAAATTAAAGCTTGGTGTTATATATTCTGAGCTTAGTTTATGTTTAAGGATATATGTGTGCTACTTAGCTCGATGGAGAATGAGAAAGCTATATTGTCTGACATGAGTTCCCCCTCTAGTTGTCCTATGTATTCCTTATTATCTCTTGGGTGAATATGTTTCTTGAATTTGGGTGTTGTTAATGAAAGGAAAAAAGATGTTACTACATCTACCTCAAATTATAAGATATTTTTGAAAGAGATTTAGTGTTCCAAAATATAAGACATTTGGACAAAAATGGGGGATCATTAATGATTTTTTTTAATATTATTACCCTTCCAATTATATTTTCTTTTTTTTAAAATTCTTTCATATATAAAAGATATTTTTAAAAGTTTATATTTTTATTTTAAAAAAAATAAAGTTGTAAAGTATATTTAATAAACTTTATTAGTATGTGTAATTTTATTTAAAAGTGTTTTATAATTTGAGATAAAAAAATATAATATCTTGTATTGGGATTGATTCCAAAGGGACAAAGTGATAACTGAGATTTTCGGATGTGCCAAAACTAGGGAAGATTATAATATGATAAAAAATATTTGACTTGGTTTGGATGAAGGGAAAAATGGAAAGAAAATAAGGAAGAAAGGAAAATGGGAAAAGAAATTTTTAAAAATATATAGTAAATTTTTTTTATTAATTTTAGAAAAATTTTCCTCCATATTTTTTTCCATCCAAATGAAGAATTAAAGCCCAACAACAAAACTTCGAAACTAATATGAAACACGAAATAATGGAGAAGACGAACTAGCACTTGAAAATTGGAATATGGAGAAGACAAAACTATTTTTTAAAACGTTAATATTTATATAGACTTTCTAGAGGCCATAAATTTATTGACTCGCGGGGAGGACCAGGTCACCCAATGAATGCTGAGATTCAGCAAATTATGCAGATCTTAACAAAAGAGGAGAGTCTCTATATCTCTCATGCCTACAGGGAACTTTTTTTTTTTTGGTCAAAGGCCTACAGAGAAAGTATATATCCACTGTGTTGACCAACTGGCGAAAAATGCCCACTCTAGTGATTTTGACGCTGCTATTTTGCATGCTGTTCCTATTGAGTAGCACTGCACAAAGGATAGGACAGTATTAGAATTACTTTAATTCAAAATTCGATCTCTTTTATAAAAAAAATTAAATTAGATAATTTGTAGTTTAGTTTTGTCTAGTGATAACTCGAAGATTACCATGACTGGACTTGATTCATAGAATTAGAAGATTGATTCTGTTAGTCCAGTACTCACTTAGCTTTCTTTTTTTCCTTTTTTTCTTCTATAAGAGGCAATAATACATTTCAACTTAATAAACTCAATTAAGATAGTAAAAACACTTATAATAATAATAATAATAATAATAATAATAATAATAATAAATTCATAATAATTTCCAACAAAAAAAATATTTCTATTATAATCCAAATGATTTAAATTTATAATTTTAGCAAAAATAGCACCTAACAAACTTCAACAACACTATATTACAACAATTTAGAAACAAACTTAACAAATCTTGATACAATCATCTTCTTAGCATCAATTACACTTGAAGCATTTGTCAAAAATAAATTAATTATAATTATAATCAAAAAATTAATAGGACTGAACTGGACCAAATGGTTCGGATGCCTAGTCTCTTGTCCAATCCAACCCGAAAAAATAGTCTGGTCTTTTTAGTCTTTTTAGTCATGAAGAACTAGTGTCTATACGAACCGAACAAGACTGAGACTCTTGAATTGGACTGAATCAGACAGAATTGAAAGATTTTTAGTGTGCCAATATCTTTGTTCAGGACCAAATTTATCGTGCTGTCGACTCCACTTAGGTGGTAGTTTGAACCTCTTATTTTGCACTATTTCCAAACCTTGGGCTTGCTCTTTGATTTGAAAAAAATAAATAAATTAAAATATGGGTTGAGCTTGAGTTCAAAGTGTAATTTACTTATTTATGAGTTAGCACCTAGAGCCTGCTTGAAATTATTCTTTTTATTTTTTACTTTTTTAAAATTTATGGACCCTAAAAGAAGTCACAATGGAGACCTAGATTGAATCCTCAACAAATGACAATATAATAATGTATATGCTTAATAGAAAAAAGAAGCACGCTAGAGAACTATTTCAAATGGAATTTGAATTCACAAAAGTGACCTTGCTTGCACATATAGCATAGGTATGGCACATACATAGCACTATGCTGTAACGAATTTAAAGCATAACTGCATAAGTAAATGATCATGTACCTGAGCGGTGCGTTTATTTAGCGTGGGGTAAACTTCACGTCTTCCCCAGTCTACATTGACACGGGAGGGACCGACATAATTTGGATCATCTCTGTACTTTTTCAATATACTTATTTTGTTCGATTTTAATTAATTTACAGTACACTTTATAATAATTAAATTATTTTTTTAATTTAATTTTTTTAATTAACTTAAAAGTATTTAATATAGTTTTATTATTATTTAAAATCAAAAACAAAATTAAAACTATATATCATTTTTATAATATAAAAAAGTATAATTTTTTTAATATGTGTGAAACGGTTGAAAGTGTCTCATAATAATGATTAGAGGGAGTATTTCTTTACATATAAATAGGTTATTAACTATCATTACTTAAATTTATAAATAATTAGTTTTTTTATAATCTAAATATACAACGATGGAATAATATGTTAAAAGTAGTTAAGAATAATAAAAAAAAGATAATAAAATCCTTCTGAAATATATAAATAAAAATTTAATCCCTCAAAATGACATAATTGTTTAAAGTTCTTAAGAACTTTTTTGTTGTTAATGAATTTATATAAATTATCAAATTGTCCTTGTTGAAAATAAATGATTCACAAGTTTTGTTTAAATATTCACAATTTTTCTTCTTATATTCACAACAATGTAATAGCAAATCACAATTTTGCATGTTAAATTTCTTATTTGTTGTTGCATTATTATAAATATAAGAATAAAAGTTGTGAATATTTAAATAAAACTTGTAAATCGTTTATTTTCAACAAGGATAATTTGATAATTTAAATAAATTTATTAATGACAAAAAAATATCCAGGGACTTCAAGGGAATTATAACATTTCTAGGAACCAAATTATTATTTATATATTTTGAAGGAATTTTTTTATTATTTTTTCATAAAAAAATGTTAAAAGTAGTTTTACTTTATATTATATAATTCAAAGAAATAGATTAAATTAAAATATATATAATATAATATAATATTTATTTAATGGTTATCATTAATAAGCATTGTGATGATCAAGAATAACCTATTTATTTTAATGCTATAATTAGCAATCCCATACCATTAAACAAAACGATAATTAAATAAATGGAAAGATCAGGTATGGAGAGATGTATCAAAAGAGAGTATGAAAATGATCTAAAATTTGGCAGGGACATGAAAAAAAAATATAAGGCAAGGGATTTTAAGCAAAAAAAAAAATCATGGATAGCTTGGCACATAGAGTAGTATTAGAAAAGAGACCACTAATAATAAGATTCATGAATCAAAGTCATGTTTCCTTTAATTATGTAGAGCAATGATTCTTTATTGGGATCTCAATTATTATTATAAACTCAAGTATAATTATAATTGAGATATTATTAAAAAAAATTTAGTAGCCCTTGTCGTGTCTTTCTTTTCCGTGTCTGTCCGTTTCAATTTTAGGGCGTGACAAAAGTTTTAACAAAAAAGAAAGAGCTAGCCCACCACGCAGCTTGTTTACAAAACCAAAATAGACCTATTTTCACCAACCCAACCCTTCAAAATATAATATCAGCCGGTTTTCTCAAACTCTAGATGAAACATAAGGAATGATGGTACGGGTGATACACCAAATTCTCGACACCCTTCCAAGCATCCCATTGTGTCCCATAACTTTTAAGCCCATTTGATAAGGCATTTGACCCATTCACGCCACCTGCCCCGCGTTCCAAGTCCATGCTAAGATAATTGTTTCACGTTCTTTTTATTTTGTCCTTTGGAAGTCAGGTTTCATAACGGGCATGAGATTGATACAACAGATGACAACTAATTATTTTAGCATCTAATTAATTTCTTTAATTTCAAAATCCATTTGATTCTAATTATCTTGAAAAAAATATTAATTGTAAAACACAATTATTGCTAAGGTTTTATTTAAAATCAGTGTATATTTTTAAATTATATAATTTAATTATATTTTAAAAAATATTACTCTCTCTGTTCAAAAATATAAAGCATTTTTTGAGGAGTTAGATATTTAAAAATATAAAATATTTTTAGTCTTTTGAGACGTAATAATTACTTTTTTTTTTCAAAAGTGCCTGTATTAATGTTGACTTTATATTTATTATAGGGTAGTTAATAGGGGTAAATATGAAAAGATAGGGTTAGTTTAAAAATATATAAGAACTTTATTAGAAGGTGAGATTTGGTTAAAAATACCTTACATTTTTAAATGGAGTATATGTATTCTAATTCGATCTATTTCTTTGAATTATATAATATAGATTGAAATATTTTTATTTAACATATTATTCCATTATTATATAATGAGGTTATAAAAAAGTAATTATTTAAAACTTTAAGTATTATAAAATCTAATAATTCCATATTGATTTCAATGTGAAAATTGTAAAATTATATAAAAAATTATAAAATCTAATTATTTTTCAAGTTGGATTTCGACTCTATCTTTATTTTTGAAGTATATAATCTAAAGGGATATTGTTGTGTTAACATGGGTTTTAGCTCTTTGAACTTTTGGAGCACACTGTTTCACCATCCGACGTTCGATTTGGGCTGTTCAAGTATTCACATGAAGTCTTTGAGCCTTCTGGCTAATACCACTGATCTCACACTCAAACAATCATCCGTTAAAAAGATGAAACACCCGATCCCAAAATGATTCATTTTCACCTTAAAACATACACAAAGGTGTCTAACTCATAATACCAAATGCCATTAGCTCTAGAGACACTTTGACCACCTCAAATAGACCATCCACAACGTGACGATTCATTCATATCACCCAAATAAACAATTGCACACAAAATGACCAGCAAACCCCCATTTGACAATAACACAAAAGGGTAGATTAAATTTAACACGCATCTCAATTTAGTCATTTTGG